TTTTATTTCAATTATTAAGCTGTTTTTATCTCAACCCATGAGTTTTCTCACTTCTACCCTTTCGATTCTCTCCCCCTATCCCTCTGCAGGGGAGTGAGCGAGCAGCTGTGGTGTTTAGTTGCTGGCTGGGGTTAAACCACGACAGTACAGTCACCTTGTTATCTGTTGCTGGGATAAATGACAGGATGAAGAGGAGCCACAAACAGTATTATGAGTAAGAGAATGGCATTTTTTGGCTTGGGAAGGTGAAAGCACAGGGCTACTGAGTTTGTATTTCGGTTGGTCCTTTGAAATCTTCATAGACAGAATAGCAACACATACACTCACACATAACCAGACCTTTCATGAAGATCATGCAGTGTTGTTTCAATAGCAAAATGATCCCAGGCTGACATGTAGTTGGATAAATAATACTGCTGTTGAAACCCCACTGTGCTGCCAGCAGCAGGAATCGAGCCCGTGGCTGGCCTGGAGCAGGGCTGTGCAGGGCAGCTCTGCTCGGGATGGGGCATCATCCTCCTGCCCAGCACCCCAGCACTGCCGGGCGCTCACCTCAGACTGCTGAGGTGGAGTTAGAGGAGAATGATCCGAAACATCTCTGCAGTGTTTGCAGAGGTTTCTGTGGCTGTCAAATAGACAGGGAAAACAAAAGCTGTCCCTACTCCTGAGATGCAGACTTATATCTCCTATGCCCAGGTTAAACCAAATAAATCACTTTTTGAATTTGAGAGGCCACCAAACTTTAGACTTAACTAATAAAAAGCAGGGCAGCTGATGACAGGAAACAAAATATAACACTGTTCATCTCATCTTCTGTAAAAAGTCTTTAATTCAGTTTCACCCTCTTTTCCTGCATAATTTCCACTGTAATGAAATTTGAAAGAAAATCTCAGATATATTGAAGAGGATAAATTTTACTCTAACACTGTGTAAGGCTGTCTCAGGTTACTCATGAAATCTCTGGGGATATCTCTGAAACACATGACTTTGAAGCTTCAGCGGCAAATGGTGTGAAAGACAAAGAGTAATTGTCTTGAAATCTGAAGAAATTCAGATAACTTTTGGTGTGGTACCAAAATACGTGCGCAGAGGATTTGACTTTGACAGACATCAGAAGTTTGACAGTCAGTTAATGGGCAGTGTGACTAAGGCATATATCACAATAGGTGTAATTTGAGTGGGAAGTGTTTCTCTTCCCAGGATTTGAGCACTTTCACTTGATCTGGCAAAATTTGCAAGCATGCCCACAGCCTCCAGCCCAGCCAAACCCCAGAAGCCCTGTCCAAGCTCAGCCCAAAGAATTTGACCCTGATTCACCTTAGAGCAAGCTGTCTTATCCCATTCAGTGTTAGCTCTGATCCTACTCAGAAGCACAGTGTACTGCTGTAGGCCAAAAAGGTTTCTCTGAATAGATTGAGCTGACTGAAAGGGTTTGTCTGATGTGTGAGCCCACCCTCTTGGCTGTCCTTATTCAATCTACCTGCTGCAATAGGTAATATTAGCAAAATATTACATACTATGTTATGTGCAAAGTCTATTTAGACATCTAGTTTTGAATTGTGGGTATGTCCTTAGAAGCAATAGTTGTTTGGGTAACTTGGAAGGTTACCTGGGTATTCAGACTGAAATGTTGACTCCTGCCTTCGACAGGGCTAGTATAAAGTGGCGGTGGTACTTCATGCAACAAGACCTGAACAACAGGGTGAAATGAAATATTTTTGTCTTTTCTTAGATGGGCTGGTAATGTTCAACATTAGCTGTGGTATTTTAAGGGAAATCAGAAAGTGCCTGCCATACTCACGTGGTGAAAAAAAAGACTCTTGCTTCTCAGTGCTTACTTACCACCTCTTTGTTTGAGCCACCACACCTGAGTATTTCCAGTCCAAGTACTGCAAAGCAAAAGACGCTTGCTTCAGCCATGTCCTCCTTCATGCAGCCCTCTTCTAGCAAAGCATGACTCCGAAGCAGCTGCAGTTTGATCTCTTGGTTTGGTAATCCCTGTTTACAGTGCTCCATGCTGTTGGCTTCCTCGTCTCCTTCCCTGATAATCACCAGGTTCCCTCCAGCTGATCCTGCACTTCAGTTTGTCCACCTCAATCTCTGCCTCATTGACATGCTGTAAATTTAAACATGTTAAGTGCAGGACAGAATATGCAATTAGGACCTGCTGTGTTGGCTTCAGTGTTATGGTCTGGTCCCTCTGTGCAGTTCAGATAGTCAAGGCCATATTTGGCTCCAGAAGACCAATGGAGAATTCCCCTTGTGGAGAGAAGGGGAGAGAAAAAACTTGTATTCCCAGCAGAATTAGCTCTTGTGCCAATCGTGTGTCTCTGACAACTTGTGCAAATAAAATCTGGCAACATGGACATAAGCTTTATTTGAAATCTTTCACCCATGGCCTTCACTTAGAGGTC